TTTTTTTCTTTTTTTTTTAATAGAGTAGTTTCGCATTAGCTGTGATCTATAATGACACTTGTTTACAGTCTGCTGCTGCTCAGCATCATCCGCTAAATGACGACAAAAGTTGGGAGAAAGCAGCAACGTCCACTTTGGGTATTCTTTAAATATGACCGTGAAAAATCAAAGCAAGTGTTCTGTAGTGGAAACAGGTGATAAAACAGGTGGAAAACTTCTGAAGGGAAAAWCTGCATGAATCAAACTCACACAAGATGCTAACTGTGACTATCTTAACACGCTAACTTCTCTCAGTAGCTCCTGTGAAAAACAAACAAGTAGCACCAGGTTGGAGACAACTATTATCATCGTCCTAAAATAATCACCAAGTTTTTACTTGGCAAAATTGAGTTACGCAATTATTTTACTAAGGTGTTGCTATAGTGGACTGCTTTAACTAGTGACCAAATAACTGTTGGTTAGTTAACTCACAAGAACATCACAAGCTGGAGGATGCATTGGCAAATATGTTTATTCAAACTATAAAAAACTAATACTAAAACTAATAGAAACTAAACTCAAACTAAGCATTAAAAATGCAGTAATGACTAATAAAAACTGGCAAATCCACTGTAAAAACTAATTAAAACTGAATTAAAAGAATAAAAGTCACAACGAAATAAAACTAAACTAAAATGAAAAATCCAAAACTATTCTAACTTTGGTGCAGAGCCTCATGGATCTAAAACAGAGTTTGTTGCTGTTCAGATGTTACTGATGACAACCTTCAGTCTGGACCTCGGATCTAAATTAAACTAATCTAAAAATATTTCATTTCTTCACCTCAGACTCGTCTCTGAGCTCAGAAGTGATTTTCAGAACCAGATGTGTCACTGCCGGCCCGAAACATGAACATTTCTTTGTTTTTTGTTTTTTTTTGTTCCATTTTTAGTTTTTTTAATTATTCATTTTCTGTCGTTTTAATAATCTGATGTCTGAAATTATCAGATTAGTTTGTGCATTATCCCTAAATAATCYTTTTTTTATTCTGACGGACTAAGTCCTTTGCAGAACTCATGTTACTGAGCTGCTGCCAATTAATCTAATTAGTTGTTTTTCCACGGATGTAATTAGGTCTTTATTTAGATGATGCATCCGTCAGGCCTGGTTTGAAGCTCATTGCTGACATCAACCTAAAAATAACAAAATGTTAAAATAGAATTTTCTGCTTCAGCCTGTTTATTTACGTTTCAGTTTTTCATAACTGAAGTTTTTATTTTTACGCTGGTGYGTCCTGAATTTAGCGGTTTTAGCAGCTAAAATGTTTGTCACTTTAGTCAAAATGATTCTGTAAAGAGGAAACTGGTGTTTAAAAGTTTTGGTTTTATTTTATTTATTTATGTGGTAACAGAAGGTTGAGTTGTGGCTGAGCTGAGGCGTTGGTTCCAATCAGATGCAGGTTTTCTCTCCAGAAAGAGCCACAGGTTAAAMCTCAAACCGTCTTCACACATCCTGCTTTAACACTTCAGTTTTGATCTTTTTACTTCTACAGTCCCACGAGGTACTTTGGGAAGAACGTCACGGCAGAGAAGTTGAAGATGTACCACCCAGATTTCATCCGTTACCTCAGAAACAGGTGATGAATCTTCGGAGGCAGCGAGGAGCCGAAGGCTGCAAAAACTGAAACCGACCGAGCTTTTTTTTTTTTTTTTCCAGATTCCTTCGATCCAATGCTCTGAAAACCAGGTACAGGGACATCTACCGCCCGTCGACTGGTGCCTCCATGCTGCTGGCTGCTCTGCACACCTGTGACCAGGTAGGAGTCGGGCCTGTCAATCAACCACTGGACGCGTCTGAACTTGCAGGACGGCGTCAGTCGTTCCTCACGGAAGTAGTTTTGACTTTTCTAAACAGTTCTGCCTGACTTAACCCTTCAGCTGCAGTAAAACCTGTTTTCTACTTGTGTTCTGAGAATCAACAAGTAAAATCATGACCTGAAATATTTCTTAATGCTGCCAAAGAATTCAGCTGTTTCTTCTTTAGTAGCCGACAGAGCTGTAGTTCTCAAGATCGCTTAAATTTTTTAAAATTCTTTTCTCTTGTAGCCAAATATCAAAGTATGTGGATAAAAACTGCTACTGAGCCCCTAAAGGGACATTGGATGGGAAAAAAAAAACCTCTCGTTCCCACCAGTTAGTATCTCCGCCAGTTAGTATCTCGTGCGCGCCAGTTAGTATCTTGTGCGCGCCAGTTAGTATCTCGTGCACGCCAAGTTAGAGTCTCGTACGCGCCAAGTTAGAGTCTCGTGCGCGCCAAGTTAGAGTCTCGTGCGCGCCAGTGTCTCGTGCGCACGAGATACCTCACAGGATCCGGGAACCGTGGGTGGAAAGGCTCTGAGACTTGTCACCAAGCTGCGGCACCCATTGGAGAACAAGCAACGCAGCACTGTTTGTATTTCAGGCCGAATTGGGAATAAAGCTCAATAATGTCAC